AATATAAAACATAGTTTAGATTTTAGTTTAACCCCACCCACATATGATAACTCAATGAAGTGGCTTATCGTGTGAGAAATGTATAGAAGCCAAATACTCTAAACGTGTGTTTTTAAATGTGGAGAGGAAAACCGGATGACCCGGGAAAAAGTTAACGCGACCATGGGGAGAGAGACACGCAAACTACAAATATACAGCAGGCGTCAAGGTCGGGATCGAACCCACGACCTCCCGTAGACCAAGCGAGGAAGTTAACATCTCGCTGCCGTGGCGCCCATACCGTGAACTACCGCGTCGAGAGATCGAACCGGCGACCGTTGCGCCGACTGTGACAGGGAGGCTGGCAGTCCGCGTTTGCTCAACGTTGCATTTCAAACGGCGTTCGACGGCCTCGTTGCCCAACGCGTCGAGACCTCGAAGGGGAGCGCGGCGCCGCTCGAGAGGCTCGGAGCGATTTAAAGCTTCTTTCGTGACTACAGGGATTAATCTTCTTGGTTCTTTCGGTAAAGTCACGTAGAAGGGAAATAAGAAAATAATAAAACGTAATAAAATAATTCTCACGACGTTTCGGCCACAACGCAAGCAGCCGTCCTCAGGTGGAGAACAGGTCTGTCGAGAAGGCAGAGTCTGTCGAGAAGACAGAGTCTGTCGAGAAGACAGAGTCTGTCTTCTCGACCTGTTCTCCACCTGAGGACGGCTGCTTGCGTTGTGGCCGAAACGTCGTGAGAATTATTTTATTATGTTTTCTTTTTATTATTTTATTATTTCCCTTCTACGTGACTTTACCGAAAGAACCAAGAAGAGGCTCTGAGCGGTTTCACGCGAGCCCGAGAGCGAGCGCGGTGGGTGGGGAGGGAGGGGGAGGTAGGAGGAGGGAGGAGGGGGGGAGAGCCGGGAGATAAAATCTGGCGAGAAGCGTGGACCTGCCGAGCATGGTGGTGTTTTTCTTTTTTTTGCTTGCGAGTTGTGAGCGCAGTGGCCCCGAAAGCAGCTGAGTTTAGGGGTCGCTTGTCAGCAGTTAGGGGTTGTTTGCTACCGGTCACGAGCCATCGTGGGTGCTCTTCCTCCGCTACACAGCAATTATCAACAGCGCAGTAAATGTTTTTGGCGGCGGGTCACGGAACATAGTGAGAGCGGCGCGGTAACGATGCTCGATATTTCATCGGGTGACCTATTTCTTTAATGCGACGCTTTTAAAATGCTGGGCGGTTTTTTTCGTGGGGAGATCCCGCGCAGGATTAGGGGTGGGGGGGGAAATAATCAGCGACAATTTGGGCCGCCTCTGTGATTGTGTTTACTTTTTGCGTTCTTCCCGCTTGTTCACAAGTCGAGTGTAAAAGTAATAAAACGTCAAAGTGATTCTCCCAGCAGCGTCCTGGGCCGGCGATGGAAAACTCCACATGGCTGGAGCGGGGGCATGCGGGGAAAAGATTTGTGGGCGCCACGTTGGCGAGATGTTAACTACTCTCGCCCGGTATACAGGAGGTCGTGGGTTCGATCCTGACCCTGACCGTGACGCCTGCTGTATATTTGCATGTTCTCCCCGTGGTCGTGTGGATTTTTCTCTGGGTCCTTTCTTTTTTTCCCCTCCACATAGAATCATGCGCTTAGAGTATTTGGCTGCTATACATTTCCACACGATAAGCCACTTCTTTGAGCGATCATTTGTGACCAAGTCGCTTCTGAAAAATAGCTACTCTATAGCTCAGCGGGCCTTACCTGGTAAAACTTTTTTTTTAAATAGTTTAAGTCACTCCGTCGCACGATTATGGCTGACTTTCCACAAAGTGGTGCTCAATTTATTGACCCCCCCCCCCAGAGAGAAAGATGGTGATGTTAACAGATTGAGTCTACTAACCCTACCAAGATGGGAATGTGACATTTTCGGATCGTGGGTCGTGCACCCCCACCACACTGTTTGCTTAATTTTGATTCATTTTGGATGACGTTGTCTTTTAAAGACTCTTGATTACATTTGGATGACGTTGTCTTTAAAGACTTTTAGTTACATTTGGATGACGTATTTTAAAGACTCTTAGTTACATATGGATGCCATTGTCTTTTAAATACTCTTAGTTACATTTTTTGGATTACGTTGTCTTTTAAAGACTTTCAGTTACATTTGGATGACGTATTTTAAAGACTCTTAGTTACATTTGGATGCTGCTGCGGTGCAATGGTCATCACGCTTGACCTGCAATCCAGCGGTTGTCGGTCTCTTTCAATCTGCCGACGCGGCAGTTGAAACAATGGGCAGCCCTTATTACCCCCCCCCCCCCCCGCCGCCTGCATCTGTCTGCCCAGGAATATGAAGTTGTACGCCAGGGTGAATCTATGAGCAGGTCGTGCGCGGTGGGGTAAAGTGTGGGCACTCATCGTCTCTTCCAAGGCGTGGGCCCACGATTCCTTCCAAAGGGGGGGGGGGGCTCTCATCAGCGCCCTCTGGTCGAGGCCCTCCCGCCGGCAGTGGCGCGAGCGAGCAATTGCAGGGCTCCGCCTTTACCATGCTGCATGCGTTGATTTTAAACCGGACTTTGTTGAACTCCTCCACGCCTGCCGCAGCGCACTTTGGCGCCGCGTTCATTGAGCGAAGCCGCAAGAATCGACGTTGAAATAACTCGCCTTGCCCAGAGCGAATTAACGACAGCACGATGAGATTTACGCGGGCAGAGATGTGTGTTGTCCCCACCCCATCCCACCCCACTCCACGCACCTCCGATCAGCACGGTTGGCTACGTACGCTGCGACAGAAGTGCAGCGTACATGCGTGTATACAACAGGCTCGACTTGCACGGCTCAGCGGGCGCAGTTCCAGTGTGACCAATAGCTCTCTCTCTCTATCTCTCTCTGTCCCGTGTGCACTTTAGATTGTGCCACGTGTTGGGTTGACGTCGGGATTCGGCGCCGGGACCGCACGCCGGACAGCCGCGGCGGCACGAGGGGGGGAAGACCCGCGCAGCAACTGGAAACCCACAAGCAAACGCGCCTTCTGCCATTTCCGTGGCTTCTGAAATGGGTATCACTTCACGTGGCTTTACGGGACACTTTTGGAGACAGCGTAGATCGCACGCAGGTCACGTGTGGTGGGGTAAAGTGTGGGCACGGCCTCCTCTTCCAACACGTCTGACTGGTGTGGAAGAGTAGGCCAAATATCGTCAAGAGTAGTGTTCTTCACTAAATTTCAAGACGGGGGAAGGGGGGGGGTGGCCATTTTTCTCCGATAAGACATCATCAGTGTGAGGCCAGCCCCACCGCTTGCAAGGATTGTTTTCACTATTTGTGTATTGTCGGAGGGCCGCAGGTCAGGGCACCGCACTAAAGGCCATCCAGGGGCCCGCCAGTGGCCCCTGGATGGCCTTGCAATGAAGAGCACCGCTCTCTGTAACAAGCTCTTCCTGACACATGTTTTTAAATGTGGAGAGGAAACCCGGATGACGCGAAGAAAAGTCCACGCGACCACGTGGAGAGAGACACGCAAACTCCAAATATACAGCAGCAGGCGTCAGGGTCGGGATCGAACCCACGACCTCCTGCGTACCAGGCGAGGTCATTGACATCTCGCCGCCGTGGCCGCCCATATCGTCAACTTCTGCGTCGGGAGATCGAAGCGGCGACTTCTGCGTTGCAAATCCGGTGCGCTGATTAAAAATAAAAAAAAGCATGCGTGCAGAGGTCCTTTCCGCCAGCAGCGGCGCGAGCAGGGTCATTGCCCGAATGGACCCTTTGTGTGCGGCGAGACCCCGACGCTCGGGCCGTGCCACGCCGTCCGGGAGGTTTTGAGCGCCGCGAGGAGGAGTCTACAACCGCGAGTCTGCAGCACCGTGGGCAAAACATCCCACGGCGAGTTTTTAAGTGGAATTTATGGGCGCATGGGAAAGTGAGTCAACCAGACTTACTGCAGGTGCGCTTAAAACACACGATCTAATTGGGTTGTAATTCTTGTAGCAAAGTGACGTCGGCTCGGGAGATAATGTGAAGATCTAATTTACTTCCCGGCGCCATTTCATTATCAGTGTTTAGTCAATCATCGTCATCGTCACGGATATGCCTCTTCATTGATAGTGTAGCTCGTGTTCGTCTTACTGATTACAGTACTTGAGATCACGTAACCCCTTGCGTATTTTCACTGAGATTCGATTGCTTGTTTACTTTAAAGAGTGATTCATTTTGCAACCGGGAGGTTGTGTGTTACGTCTCCGAGGTTGGTTAAAATGAGCACTGCCCGTTGTGGAATACTGTACCGTGGATGCGTGTAAACTGATCAGTCCATTCTTCACACAGTTGTTCACTTTCTTTGGATAAGACCAGCTCTGGGAGCCACATGCATGACAGCTATGACTGACATGTGATTGACGTGTGACTGACATGTGATTGACGTGCGAGTGCCACGCAGCAAACCGAGCTTTAAAAGGCACCCACAGGAGCACAGAACGGTCTCATCTATTTTATTTTATTTTGAAATGTTTTGTATTTTAGCAGGTGAGGCCGACTGAACTATAAAGCTCTTTTTTCTCAAATGGATAGCTCAACGAAGTGGCTTATCATGTGGAAATGTACAGCAGCCAAATACTCTAAACGCGTGATGCTGATTCGAAGTGGTGAGGGGGAAAACCGGAGGACCGGGAGAAAAAGACACGCGACCACGTGGAGAACACGCAAACTCCAAATATGCAGCAGCAGCAGCAGCAGCACGCGTCAGGGTCCGGATGGCACCCAAGACCTCCTGTACACAAGGCGAGGTAGTTAACATACCGCCACCATGAGGCCCTAATCACCATCCAGGGCCGCTCGTAGGAGCGATAAGTAATGTTAGCGAGCACCCATTAAGGGTGCAATGTGACGCTCCGCTCTCTGTGAGGGTTCCACAAACTCATTTCTTTCTCCCGTGACACAGTTAAAAGAAGATATTGAGCACGTTTTTTTTTATCAAACTTTTAAATAAAGTTTAAAAAAAATCCAAAAGCGTTCGCCAAGATGCACATGAATGACAAGAAGGCTCGTTTAATTTAGAAAACGGAGGGGATTTATTCATTTAACAGTTGCAAATTTTTTTTGTAACACATCAATGCAGTCACTACAATGAACGGTTCGAAAATGACAAGCACACGGAATCGGTTTGGCGAAACATCAGCCCGGGCCAGATTCCAGACAGGTCTTGCGCGTAACAGAGATAGTTTTTTGGGGGTAGCGGGAGAGGGGGGAGGGGTGAGGGCAGACGGGGGGCCCGGCCCGAGGGGTCGGCGTTTTTTTTATTTGAACGCAATGTGTCACCGTCGCTGTACAACCCATGCACCCCCCCCCCACCGCGATTGAAGCAGCAACGCACCCGCTCCGAACCCCTCGGTCGGGGTCAGTGTCGGCTCTGCGTCGCTCGTTGAAGCAAACATTGTGTGTGTGTGTGTGTGCGTCTGTCTCGGTTGTTCGGGACGTGAGAACAAACAAACAAAAACGGTGGTCGCGCAACGCCGAGCGCGTGGAGACAAATAAATAAATAAGGAGACCGGGTCCTGGGTGCGATGCACGGGCTGCTCTCCGTGGTGCTAGTGATAGATGCCTTCCCGTGGATGCACGGGGAATCCGTGCGAATCACTGGCATGAATTTACACGCGATTGTGGCGAGTGTGTGGTGGGGTGGGGAGCGGAAGGATTTTTCTTTTATTCACAAATGATTACAAAACTTATTAACATTACATGCAATGTCAGAGTCAATTGGATTTGATCGCTACGCTCCGTCAATTGTTCCCGTTCCCTTCTCCCTCCCTCTTTGTTTCCCAAATGCCAAAAAATCAGGGCTACGTGTGACTCAAGACAAGTCTCCCAGACCAGATACTCACGCGTGAGCTCTGGCTGGAGGAACAGCTCGCAAGTCCGGTTCAAAACAACAACAAAAAATTGCACACACCTACACGTGCGTGCTTGTGTGTGTGTGCGCGTGATGACAGTGTGGGGAGCGGTAGTGTAGCGATTAGTGCGCTGCGCTACGAACCCGGCGACCCGGGTTCGATTCCCGCTCACGGCCAACACCAGTGACGATTATCTGAACCGGTCCTGGGCCTCCCCGAGGTCAACTCAGCCTCAAATGAGTACTTGGTGCGGTGTGTAAACATCGTCACTGGGGAGACAAAGGCGGCCGGGCGTGGTGCTGGCCCACTCACCCCCCCCTGCCTCCCCCTTGTGTGCCGTGCCTTCCTTCATAGGTGCTCGCTAACAGCACTTGCCTCAAGTCTGTTAAGGCTATACGGGGGGGGGGGATCTTTGTGATAAAAGTTCACCACCTTCCATAGATAAAATCTGCCGCCGGATAAATTGCCAATGTACAGACGTGGACTGCGTATGACGGTCGACGGGTGGGCTGACGGGTGAAGGTTTGGGTGGACTTCACTTCCGCAGGTCAACTCCACCGCCCACTCACAGGGGCCATGAGCTTTATACATTGAAACATAAAACACTTTTATAGACAGAAACACACAAGATCCTAAAACATGTAAACTCACAGGTCGACAAGATTAAATGCCATGCTTTTTGCTCGCTCAGTTGCCATATAAACAACTAATGTTCAACAGTACATCACAACAGTATTCCTCTTCACCGGAGGCCCGGCGAGATCCGCAGGGTTCGTATATTTACATCAGTGCCTGAATTCACGCACTAGAAGCAGATGACGACATCATAGTGGTCCGGGAATTGGGGTCAGTGGGGAGGGCAGACCTTCCTAACACAATATTAAATACAAACCAGCCATTCTTCATTATTGCAATGCTGTTAAATAACGAAACGAAATCAAAACGTACAATTGACTTTCTAGTAATGCACATAGGTTTTACACGCAATGTACAAATCGGAAATAAGCTCTGCGGCCATTTACATTTGCATTATTGATAATACTGCCAAGTTATTTGCATATCATAGCAAAAAACAAAAACAATTGTACACGAACACAACCGGCTCTTTGGCAACTGTGACATTTCCGTGTTCGCAGCACATTTCGGTTGTGCCGGTAAATAGCTCAGCGGTGAAGTGGGGGCACAACTAGTGCGCTTGGCAGCGGCCTGTTCTGAAATGTACGCTCGCGAACCGCCCCTCCGCCCCCCCTCTTGCCGTGTACAGAAAGACGATTGTGTTCCCCGTGGCTGAGGCGGTGGTGGAAGTGTTTGTGCCAGCCTCTCAAAGGGGGCGCTGCGGTGGCGAGGAGATGTTAACTCCCTACGCCTGGTTCGTGGGTTCGATCCGGTCCTGACGCCTGTTGTATATTTGGAGTTTGCGGTGTGTCTCTCTCTCTCTCCCTGTGGTCGCGTGGATTTTTCTCCGGGTCGTCCGGTTCCCCCCCCCCCCCCTCCACATTTAGAATCAGCATCACGAGTATTTGGCTGCTTTAAATGTCCACGTGATTAGCCGCTTGGTTGTGCTATCATTTGGGGCCAAGTCGCTTCTGAAAACGAACTATATACCTCAGTGGGCCTTACACCTGGTCAAATAAAAATAAAAATTGTTTCGTTTTAAGGACTGGGCCTCTCCCACGTGGTCAGGAAAGATGCATGTGTGGCCCAAGGGCGCTGTGGTTGGAGGGCCTCTGTCTCCACTGGAAGGGTCGCAAATTAAGATTATTGTTGGGGGGTACGGCCGAGCCCATCATCTCTTCAGGGTCGATACAATTACTACCACGTAGCACTTGAAGAGTGGTTTGTTCTATGGAGAGACTGGCCACTGCCATGAGAATGTGGAATGTGGGGTTCGGGCCACAGATTTAGACGACGATTCGTGTTTGAGCAGGGAAATAGCCGAAGTGAGTGACAACCCCACGTGACTTTACACAGAATGGGGGAAGAGCATTGTAACTCATGAAACATAACGTCGGCTTACTTTTCAAAAACAAATCGGTGTCTTGATTATTGATTACTCGAGGCTTCTCAAGTAACGTCATGCAGTCTCCAATGTCAAATGACGACGTCACTTTTTTTCTTCCCGCAACGATATTTTTTTTGGTATATTGGTTTGACCTCACAAACATCTGCGCTGCCGTGCTGTGACCGCAGGCTGTGTTGCGCCATGATATTGTTTATCTTTGTAACGTACTGACTGACGCCCTGCCCCTACCGGACATTTGTGGGGGGGGGGGGGGGAAACGCTCCACAGCTCATCGCATTCCTCCAGCATGAACACATATTCTGATTCTGATGATCTGCGTGCACTGGCGCTGCCGCGCTCACATCAACCCGAGCCGCTGACTCCATTCCGTTGATCCTCGTTACTTGTCGCAAGAAAATATGTTCACATTTTGAAAATGACAGTCGTCGTGAAAACGTAAGCAAGCCCGCACGTGCTGCGATAGAGGTAATTCTATTACACGCTGACAGTGGAGTACACCTTGGGATTTCCGGGCACCTGCCTTTGGTAATCAGATTACGGCGAAGCACCGTTACGTGTAACGCGTTACTCCCCAGCGCCGCTTAGAAAAGTTAACGGCGGCGGCTTTTTTTGCCCGAATCGCGCAATCGAATTACAGGCGCCGGGGTTTTGTTCAATTAAAGGGAAGCCCCTGAGTTTTGTGAGCAGTGACTCGGGCGCCCGCGAAGTAAATCCACTTTAAGTTATCGCGCTTACATCTGGCCACTGCCGGCGTTTTAGACGTCGCTGGGGGGAAACAAACGGGGAGATTGACCAGCGAGCGGCCGCGTTTGGGCCGCTCGCGAGTAAAATTGTGCCGACACAGAGTGCGAAGTGTTTTAACCGTCCCTGTCCAAACTGCACCTCTGCCTAATGGTGGCTGGGGCTGGAGCTGCAAAACCCATTATGAAAATGTCGTGTGGAGTAAGATTTATACCGGCGGTCCCCGGCAGAAACACTCCTCGGGGATGGCGAGAGTGGGGCCATTACTGCCTCATTTACCCGAAAAACTCATTTATCTTCACTCGGGGAGAGAGTGCGAGGGGGGGGGCGGAGTGGGGAGATGGGAGAACGGGGGAAGGGGGAGCGGGAAGGAGAGGGGGGGGGGCGAAGGGAGACACAGCCTGGGAGCCGTGAGGGTGATTTGTCTAAAAAGCTATTAAGTCCTTGTCATGTCAATTTCAATCATGGCGGGGTGTGGACGGATCTCGGGGCACTCCCTTTGTAGAGTGCGCAGTCGCTGTGGAGCGGGAGCGCATTTACATGTCCCTCGATTGCCTGTCGAGCATTGCTGCCAATAAATAATACGTGACAAAATGTTTCCGGTGCGCTCCTTGGCCTCCTTCTAACGCTAAGGTACGCGTTGCCGAGGTGTCAAAGCCGCGAAATAATAGATGTTTTTCTTTTTTTTCTCTCTCGGATTTTCCTCTCGCTCGCTCGCTCGCTCGTTCGTCCCCGGCTCTTTATATCTCCTCGCGCGTCTCTCCTAACCAAGCGCGGAGCGACGTTCCGACGGCTTCTGGTGCGCAGTGCAAAAAAATAACTGAATTTTTTCTTTTCACAACAACCTTTCCACCGAAGATGCTGTCCACTGCGGTCGAGTCGGAGGCCTGCTTTGGGTGCCGGCCGTGCGGCGTTGGGAGTCTTGGTTTTAATTTGGTGTTCGTTTATTGAAGGGGAAAATGTTCCACACTTCAGCGATGTAACGTTTGAAAAAAGATGAAAATCAGTTTTTTCACAAGAGAAGCAAAAAAGTTGTCATTTAAGAAAACACAGCCAGCAACACTAGTTATATACGACAGACCATGTGCTTTCTAATTTAATTAACTACAACTTTCAATTAGCAACATTATTTATTTTTATTTGAATACCTTTCAAATTGAATGGAAACAAATTAGCAGTATATATTACATAAAACATGTTTGCCAGGTTTCACTTAAAATTCAACTTCGCTGATTAAAAACTCGGCTCATTGAATGAACCGTAATTGCCAATTAATTTCAACTTCACTGCCAATTAAAACAATTTGGCCTCATAGCGTGCAGTTCCATCAGCGTACCACAGTAGACAGAGCACCGCGAGGTCATAAACAGTTACTGACCAAACAATTTAATTATGGACATTCGTTGGGGAATCTGCTCGATTTAACCCTCGAGTAGACAAGACGATAATCAGCCCACGCGGTTCCGCGATGCATAATTTAGGCCGCTACACGAACCGCGTTTACACAGCAACTAAAAAGGGTAACAACAAATTGGAGGGGGGCATTTAAAAAAAGGGGTGGGGAGAGGCGTGGGTAAATATAATTGTGTTTAAATTCAACTCGAGCAAATGTGCTCTCCCCCGTAATGAATCTGTCACGAGTGAAGCCAGCGCCACTTTCATCGACGACGCTGGGGACTGTTTCCAAAGCGCGAGAGAACTGTGGGACGGTTGGCGTTGGGTGGGCAGCCTTTGTTGCATTGCTTCCTTCATGACGCCGTCAATCGCACGACTGCTGGTTGAGTCCAAAAATGCAGCGAGTTGAGTTTTGGTAACGATCACAGGTTTATTTGTTTTTTTTCCCTTCCCTACTTCTGGTTTGAACGTAGATTCGTTTCCTTCACGTGTAGCTGCTGATAGTTGTGGGCGGGGGGAGGGGGGGTGCCAGAGGGAGGTCAAAGTTCATCTCGAAAAGTTTATTTTCCACTGGTAGCCAGCGAACTGAATCGGAGTTGAGTCGCGTGGGTCCGTGAAGATGTGACGACGTACCGCCTCCTTAACTTCTGCGGATCTGCGATGACGTCTCGGCTTCCAACAATTTTGGCGACGGTGGTGTTCGGGGACAACCTTGGGGAAGAGGGCAGTCCGTTCGTTGTTTGCTGCTGCTGTTGCTGCTGCTGCTGCTTCTGTTGCTCTGTTTACCCTCCCCTGTCGACCACGCTGACATAACGCGGAAGGGAGGCTGGCGCGCGTTGACGCACGTGTTCCCTTGCTCACTGACCCCGATGACAACAGCCCCACCAAAGAAGACCCGACGCTTCACGTCAGTCTCAAATACAGCTTCTCAAAGGTCACATCAGACTTGTGGCCCAGGGAACAAAAGAAAGAAAAAAACATAAAGAAGAGAAGCTTTCAATGCCGCTCATAACCGGCGGCGAGCCTCCGCCGGTCTTGAAAGGCCTCCCTGGAGGCCGACATTGCAGCCGAGGCCGCATTCAGAGATAATTAACGCGTGGGCTTTAACGAGCTGAGCTTTGCGTTGCTCGTCTCGATGGTCTTGAGTTCCGAGTCAAAAAAGCTGCGAGGCGTGTCCTGAGGGCCTGCTCGTTGAAAAAGGCCTCCTGGCTCGCCTGGTTGGCGCCATCTTGCTCGGGAGTGGTGGCGCGGTCCCAGGGCGTGAGCCCGCAGGCAGGCCTGGGCCATCGCCGTGGCAACTAGTGGCGGTCGTAGCCCGTGGCGGTGGTAGGGCCCCGGGCTGTGGCACTGTAATAATACGGGGAGCCTGCAGGTCGTGAGTAGAGAGACAAGGCCACAGATTAGCAATGCTTCATAATGGCTACAATGTACCTCATTATGGCTACAATGAGTTATGCTTCAACTATAACCAATCGTATCTTATCAGCCCTTTGTCAATGGACTGCCGTGTCAGTCATGGGGGTTGTTTGACCATACTTCACCACGGTGGTCAGCGCGGGTTCATGAACGGAGGAGCCAGGACGGGTTCAGATATCACTTGCTACCGATGCGAGCCATGGCCGCGAATCGAACTCAGGACCCATGTAGAATCGCATTAGAGTCTCCATTCGAATAATCTAGGATCTCTATTCCCTTGCATCTCGAGTGTGTGTATTTATGTGTGTGTTGCGTTGTACTCACTGAGCAGACCCGGGTTGGTGAATCGCCAGGCGTCATTGTAGGCCGTGTACTGCGGGTGGGAGTACGGGTTCCCGGGGAACTCGCTCCCTGTTGGGACACATGCAATGAACGCACAGAGATAAAGGTCACCCTGTGTCATAGTCTTCTCGGACCGTTGGGGCAAGGGCTGCTGGCAAGCACCTACGAAGGCCGGAACGATGCATGGGAAGGTGGTGTGGCCGGAACCACGCTCGGAAGGCCGATGATTACACTCCCCGCCAGGTACTCATTTAAGGCTGAGTCAACCTAGGGGAAACCCAGGACCGGTTCATAAAATCTACCACCGACGTTGGTCATGTGCAGGAATCAAACTCGGGTTGCCGCGTTCGAAGCGCGGTGCCCTAACCACCGTGCTACCGCTCCCCATGCACACGGCACATTGCCGTAAACAGCATGCACAGCCAATGAAACACAAACACAGCGTACACACTATAGACGGTGCGCAATCTGTATATGCAAACTGACGCACACGCACGGGCACACGCACGGGCACACACACATGCACACGCATGGGCGCGTGGCGATCGGCAGCTCGCGGTCGACGATGGTGTTTGGTGATGACGCGAGATCTACGTGTCCACGTGCCCCGCTACATAAGAAGAGAAGGTAAAGGTGCAGGCCTGCAATTTCCACTTCACACCACTGCTGGCCATAAGGACCTCCACTGGAGGCATCTCCAGAGAGTCTCTCCAGACAGGGTAATTTGACCTACTCTTCCACGCTGGCCACACATCGAGACACGAGTACACACGCTTTATCCCACCATGCGCACGCTGGCTCCCTGCCGATCGAATAACTGCGGGGGGACTGCCCGTCGTATAAGCCGCCGTGCCGGGAGATCGAATCGAACCGGCGACCTCTGGATAAGCAAGTCCAGCGTGCCGAGCGTGACGTCGCTGTGGGAGGGTAGTCACCAAAAAAAATTGTTGTTACTTTGTTTTATGCCATTTAATAGGCTGGGGGAAATCTTTGTTTGCGCTGGGAATGCAAATCAAGTCACCCGGTGAATTGAACAAACATACGGTGAGAAGGTGACCCCCGGTGCACTTTGTACGAATACAAAAAAGACCCTTAACCTAACGTAATTGTTTTAATTAGAGTATCACCGCTCCGGCATAATTGATGCATGTGGCAGTCACTCTGATTAGCGGGGTAAGTGATTCGTCATCGTCAACGCGTTCGCAACGGTCATCCGCGGGACACAACAAACACACACCACCGCCACGCAGACCGTCACGGCCGGTGCTGTTAGCGAGCGACTATTTTGGCCAGCGTAGCTTGCAAGGCGTGGTGGGGCCCGCACCATTAGTCCCTGTCTGTCTCTCCGTCCCCAGAGAGAGGAACACGACAGTTTATTCGTGTTCGGGCGAATTCACCAAGGTGAGGCCCAGATCCGATTGAGATACCATTGGAATTGCACCGTGTGTGGAGATCGCAAAGGTTCTCCTGAAGCCCAATCTAAATAGCCTAATAGAGTTGCATTAATCACTCCCTCCAATCCGATTCATTCACAAATGTTTGCTTGCGCTTATTGTGAATGTATAAACTACGGTGGTATGAATCCATAGCATCTCGAATGGTGTGTGCGTCAATCAAAAATAACCGATTCTCGCACACACTGCGACTCGTGCGTCGTGAGTGTAGGGAGAGATTTTTAATCAACGAATTTGTGAATGTTTAAGTCCCTAATAACGTGTACTCGCATAACCCCAGACATTACAATTTACCGACAAATTGTGTTTCATCAAAACGCAGTAAAGCACTGCGGTATCATTTAAACGATAACCATCTCAATCGCAGCTGTGATGTTTGAAGTCGTACATCAAAAATAATAATATCTTGCATTTGGGATTGGAAGTTTAAACATTTTGAATGCATATTAAGCGACGAAAACGACGTATTTACATTTAAAAGCGACACGCAGATTTTCGCTCTCCCTGCGCGAGTGATTTATTACACATCTCAATTGAAAGATGTCTCCGCGAGATTTGGCCGGCAGGGAAAGGAAGGAAAAAAAAATTGCACAGTGGCAGCAAAGGGGAAATTTCCACAATTCAGGCGTCATTTGCACATCACTTGCTCTCATTTGTACCTAATGTAATGCGACACCATCACGCGTTTCTGAATATATACACGAGCTATAATTACGCCCCGCTCTGACATTCACTTATTCACTTGTCCACTCGAAGCAGTACCTCTCTAGATTAGGGGCAGCCACTGGTAACCCAATCTCTGACAGGCCTGTCTCCCCGCACTGATGTGGCAATTATGAGAATGCTCATCAAGTAGAAATACCAGGGTCTAAAACAATAAAGGTCCAGTGTTGAAACTCTCTGGCAGCCTTAATTTGTTCGATCAAAGGCAACTTGCGCCGGTTGCAATGCTTTATTTATTAGGGGGGGGGGGGGCGGGGGGCTTGAAAGACCGCAATTGTCTTGTCTGCTCACGAACGTGCCGGCTCTGATATCCGCCGCGGCCGGCGAACAGTCACAAATGCCCTCTTAGCTTCAACCGGAGCGGCCGGGCGACGCATTTCGCCTCGCCGCACACGGGCAACAAAAAGGTGTTGGCTCAGGGCAAAATTTGGATGGGAGGCAAAACAAGAAACAATCGTGCAACGCCACGATCCTTTTGCCTGTTAGGCGGCAGGAAGTCGAGTGTGGCCTCCTGTACGCCGGCTTGCATCGAGACAGTGGCACCAGCTGTATATTAGCCAATTAAAGTGATTTTGAAACGTAAGGTAAGTTGACATGGTTACCTCGGCAAATGTTAAACGTGCGTATTTAAAACATCGCTGCAAATGTTTTAGTGCGCGCTTTTTAAACGGGCGGATTCCGGCGGATCCGGGCCTTTGTTGAAAAGGGTGGAACGCGTCGCCTTGGCGAGCCGTCGCGCTCTCAAAAAAGCCGTCGGATAAAAATGTGAAGCTTGCCGACACCTGAGTGGGGCCTCTGTGACGTCGAGTGATCTCTTGTTGTTCTTCACGAGGTGGCCAGGGAAGGGCAGCACGGCAACGGAGCCTTGGGTCAACGCGGGCGGCGCTTTGAGTGCAACTCTCGGCTCGCGTGCGTGGATTTCTTCAAAGCCAAACATCACTCACTCCTGAACGAGAGTCTTAAAACTCGGCGAGGCATTCCTGGATTCACAAGCGGCATTGTGTTTTTCGCCAAACGTTTCTGCGGTATTTCATACAATGGATGCTACGGCTCAGTGACACCAGGAAACGCTGGACTAATGACTACTCGCGTCCGTAATTGACGCCACCTTTATAATTACGTGACCCCTTGGCAAAACAGATTTCTACGCAATCCGTCAGCGTCCCGTGAGGTCGGAATGAAAGCGTCCGGCGAAAAAGCCAATCACGGCGCGGAGAGAAAAGGGGCCAAAATTTTTATTATGCCACATTTTCGGCACTTATTAGCGTGCGATGATCCATCTTAAAACCGTAAACGGCCACATCCATCCCGAGCAAAACAACTCTGGGCCTAATCTCGCTCATCTGCCCTGATCAGTCTTACGAAGGCGGGCTCCTCTTCTCGCTGTCAGCCGCTTTAATTGGACGGCCAAATAAAAATAACCTCACCACCAATTCGTTAACCTTCCGAGCCGCACGTCCCCCCGTGCTTTCTCTCCCTCCGCTGCTGCTCAGCAAAAACAAAGCCACAAAGGAAGGGCCCATCAGGTTGGAGTCTTGCATCCTTCCCATAGGGGCAATAGCCATACTTCAGCCTGACACAGCTTGTTTACCATAAACAAACAGCCAGACACAATTATCCCCTGGCTCCAACAGCACGGCACAGAATGCGCCACGCGCAGCAGCGCCGCCACTATTACGGCCGCCCCCCTGCCGAGGACAAGGATGGGGCTTGTTTGTCAACCTGCGTAGGATCAGGCTAATTCTGAACAGCAGCAGCAGCGGTGGTGTCAAATATATATACACACACACACACAGACACCTCCGCACAGAAAGTTTGAAACAACTTGCGATGGTGTCTCTGTCCTATTGGTGATAAATCTCACAGAGGCTTCTGGAAACTGCAGCACATTCCTGGTAGATACCGCAGCGGCAAGTCGGTCTCGCACGCGTGTCACCGATCGGGGATGCGCAGGGCATCGTGGCTCACGCGGCTCGCTGGTGCTACCCACACCTTGCCAATGCGTCCTTCCTTCTACCAGAAAGATCTCGCAAGGGCTGCACAGTCGACACCCAATTTCCAGGACCTATTCCTGCGGCTTCATCCCCCGCTACTTTGGTTTGATGGATTTCCATGTTACACGCTCGCTATGTCCTTCAAGCATTGCTCTTACAGTCTCTCTTGCAGTCGTCCTCCTGGCCGCTGACCTATGGGTGCCACTCCGACGCCTGTCTCGGTAGCCTGCCCTCCCCCCCTCCACCCATCACACGCTTGCCGTCTTGGCCGTGTCGCCATCGAAAAGGGGCTTCCAAGCTCAATGGGCCTCGGCAAAATGAACTGACTGGCAACCTCGTCCTCCTGATTATATCAGCGACGCTCTCCTGCCACGTTTCAGTCCAAGCATCTAAGTTGCGTAACCTATCCTGCCATGACATTTCAAGTATCTTCTGCATGCACCCATAGTTAACAAAAACAAAAGCTTATGTTGTGGCTGCTTTATTAAAGTGGCAGCTCTATGACAAAAGACAAAGATTCCCCGTATAGCCTTTAACGGAATGTTAGGGCAAGTGCTGTTAGCGAGCACCTATAAAGGCCAGCACAGCACGCAAGGGAGCAGGTGGCCAACACCACGCCTGGCCGCCTTTGTCTCCCCAGTGGCGATGTTTTACGCACCGCACCAGGCGCTCATTTGAAGCTGAGTCGACCTACGGAAGGCCCAGGACGGAATCGTCATTGGTGTCGGCCGTGAGCGGGAAACGAACCAGGGTCGCCCGTAAACGTGCACAGGTTGCATTCAGCGACACGTCCACCAAAATGCCACAAAGGGAGACCCAGCGACCTGGCCGATGGCTCACAATCACCACCTCCGCTGTCGCAGCTGCCAAGCACGGCCAGGTGAAACCGGGCCACTGGAGCGCCGGGCGCCTGCAGTGCGGGAGGGCTCCGGGAGGGCTGCTGGGGTTGAGCCACCGCATCGCTCGCCAGGCAAGCCGAGTTGAGATTTGCGGTGGGCCGGGCGAGCGACACCGCCCACTGCAGGTGCCACTCACGGGCCGCCCCCCCCCCCACCTTGGCGGCCCCGTGCCAACCACGGAGACCGTGGGAAGGACGCGGCCCGGGCTCCCAGCCCCCCTTACGAGCACCCCAATCGTAATAATTACGGCGGTGGCGATGATGATGATGGCGATGCCCTTTATTTACCCGAGAAAGCCTCACTGAGTCTGAAGGTTCTCTCTCTCTCTCTCGGGAGGAGAGTCCAAACATGGGGCACGTTTGGCAAATTCCATGAATGAGAGTTTGGCTGTACGTGGGGATGAAACCAGAGAACCCAGAGAACACCCAAGCCATTCACAGTTATTTACTTATATACTGCTACAGATCCGGGCTTTATGCTCTTGAGATAACGGTGAACAGCTTATCAAGCCTCGGTCAGCGGTGGAAATGACCACCTTGGCTTATTCTCATCCTGTTGTCAGCCGACGGGGTCGAGTGGCTCCTGCCATGAGAATGTGTAATTTACACCATTGGCTCGCTGCTGCTAACGCAGCTGGAAGTGCTGTGGTGACGCCACCATCTCTTAGTGGTGAACTGTGGCTGTCGTCGTTGTGGTTGTTGATGTTGTGGTTGTGTGCGTTTGCGATCGCGTACCGGGTACCATGCCGGCCAGGCTGGAGGAGGAGTAGCTGCCTTGCCCGGTGGGGGGGACGTGGGGAGGGTACCCGGGCAGGGTGGTGCTGTTTCCGAGCTCACGGCCTGTGGTTGGCGACACGCCAGGTGACACGCACAGGAGACAAAGACATCCCGGTTAGCCTCGCCGCGCCGCTGCGGCAAGTGCAGCCTACGAGGTAGGAACGTTTGCGTGCCCGTGGCTGAAGCTTACACATAATACCAGGTACCCATTGAATCACTCTGACGACCTCGGGGCAGTCAAGGACAGGTTCAGATATCACTTGGCAATGATGTGCGTGGCTTGGAATTGAAGCCAGATCAGCCAGGATTGCGGCTCCTGTGTGCAAACTAATGCACCACTGCTTCCCCCACTCACATTTACACATACCACACGCTCACACATGCCACACGCACTCACAATGCACACACATGCACCACGTGCACATAGCATGCAAAGCACATGTGCACGCACGGTAGTTTCCTACAGTACATATATGAGTCGGCCCCAGTCCACATGTGACAATTCCACATTCCTCAGTGGGGGCAGAGCTCCGCAAGGTAAACACCTTCCCACAGCGTGGTACTAATTTTATCGACCATAGAAGAATTATGATGATGATTATGATGATGAAGAAAAAGATGATTAATCAATTCCTCGATGGAGGTCAGTTTCCCCTACAGGACAAACACCGTCCGACAGACCGGTACTTATTTTATCAAGCACAGAGGGGATGATGGGATGAGTCGACCCCCTGGTTGGGACTTCAACCGGGAACCCTCAGATTGTGAGCAGAGCACCGAAACGTTTCGCAGATGCGGCGTCAACCGTGCGCTAGCACGCGGTTGACGCGCGCCAATTGGCCCGCTTTCCAAACGGGACTCATCGCCGCGCCGTCACGCACGCGGCGTTTATTAATTCCAATGAAAGCAATAAAGTGCAAATACAATCTTTCATCATGGATTCATCAAGAAACAATATTAATTTAATGGGAAGCAAAGTGTGGGGCGTGTGCAGGCATATTTTAAAACGCGCAGCCCAGGTGGCGCGAACGCTTTGGCGTGGTGGCCGTGTCTCAACGCTGCAATTACTCGGTCGTCAAGCACGGCCGCCGCGGCAGCAACTGATTGAATCGCTCGACTTACGCTCAGAAGCTTGCCAATTCAAATCGAGTCGACAGGGACTGGCTCCTGCCATGGGAATGTGGAATTTCTACAACTGGATGAGCACCTGCCCCCGTTGCTCATTGTCACGGGGACTCAGAAGTTACATTCGCCTTTGCAAAGTCGTTCTCGCGACGCGTCGCCGCCATCCAAACGTGGAATTTCCACCACCGCTCCAAGGTCCGGCAACAGATACCGGGGCTGCTATCGCTGCTGTCGCTGGAGCAGGCCAAACTCGTCCGTTCGTGGCATTTCGACTCCCGACTCGGGACGCTGAGCACGGCTCCGTTCTGCGGAGAGGGGCCCCTTCACGTGCGTGCGCGGTAATCGGTGCCCCGCCGCACCTGCTGTGCTCGCAACACGCGTCTCCGCACTCCGAACAAGTCCCCCCACATTTCTTTCAGATCCCAGACGACAATCAGACACCTCCCCCCCCCCTCCTTCCCTCCGCCACACTCCCACCCAGCAAAGAGCACGACGATTTTCACACGCAATCACCCCCACGCCTCTTCGCGTCGGAGGGGGGAGGGGGAGCTGGCGCCCTTGTGAACAGGTCAAGTTAGGGTCAGAGGGCATTCCTACTCGGACGAGCCTGGGGTGGAACTCATCCCTGCTCGAGACAATTCCACATTCCTATGGCAGGACGGCAGTAAGACAACCACTACTGACTTCCAATGAAGTAACTTCTCACAAGAGTGGCATTCGTTGTATTCGCCCCAGAGGAATGATAAGACTGAGTCGACCATCTGCTGTGATGCGTGCTCACGATTGTGAAGCAGGCTGTCCGCCACGTCTGTGCTGTGTCGAGACCGATGAATCTCATCGTGGGTGCGAGTGTCCATCAACAAAACGCGTGTTTTCAAAACACGCCAACCTCGTGCCACTGCACCGCCGGTCACCATCTCGGCATGAAAGGAAAGGGGCCAGATCATCCCCGTGCTCTAATGATGAGCAGTGGGGCAGCGGTGATCTGCAGTGATGTTCATAACCAAGTGATGGGAATTACAATGCATGTGGCAGTCACCATTCCATCCGTATAACAAGATCCAGGCGGTGCTAGCTTTACCAAACATGTAAAACTAGCACGGGCTGAGTTGACGACCCATGACTAAGGATTTGAACTTTGAACTTAACACGGGATTTATGTTACATCACTTCCAGCACCTTGAGTTATGAGAAACCAGAGACCGACCATTTTTCAAAAGTCACCCACCAGCACCGGTCATTGGGGGACAGGCCGTTCTTTTGTACGTACGTACGAATGTACTCTATTTTGAACTTCTTTCGCACCGTACATCGTCAACCGTGCTAATTGGAGTTGTCGGGGAAGGACAACCGGGTTCAATTCAGATGCAGCCTCGGAGTTGAACCCAGCAGCTCCGCACTCGAGGATCGGTGCTCTTATCCAGGAAGGGTGTGAGCATCAGCAGTCCCCTGAGCTACCCAAATAAGTGTAACATGTGAGGGCAGCGACAGCACTGTGGATAGCGCACTGCCCTGTGAACCCGGCGATCAGAACTTTGATTCCCGGCGCCACATCAGTGCCGAGTGATGCCTGAACCGGTTCTGGCCACAGCCCACCTCCACCAACCCGCGACTGACCAGCGTGGTGAAGTATGGTCAAAAACACCCTCGCGACTGAATGGAAATTAAATCGCGTGTGATCAACTTGTAGCAATTTGATCACGCGCGAAAAAAACAAAGACATTTTTCCTGACCACGTATGAGGAGGTGGCATATGGCCTCGTAAACAACGGAGACACGCTTAACTGTGTAAAGCAACATTCCTCTCGTAAAATAGCTTGTTCAAGCAAAGGTTAACCAAACAGACACACTCTCCAGATTCGGCCCCCAGGGTCCAATCGAGACACCATATGTCATCACTTTCCCAAACACCTCGCATCTCCTTCCTGCCCAACTTGCGTCCCAAACTCCCCCGCCCCACCCCCCCCCCCCCACACTTTGTTATTTTCACTTAATCCACTTAGTTTATTTCTCAAAGACTGTGCACACTTTGGGGCAACGTTTCTGCCTCGTGTTTGATCAATTTTAAAACAATCTCGATTTAAAGCTTTCGTGACTGCAGGGATTCATCTTCTCGGTTCTTTCGGTAAAGTCACGTAGAAGGGAAATAATAAAATAATAAAAATAAAACATGATAAAATAATTCTCACGACGTTTCGGCCACAACGCAAGCAGACCTGTTCTTCACCTGAGGACGGCTGCTTGCGTTGTGGCCGAAACGTCGTGAGAATTATTTTATTATGTTTTATTTGTATTATTTTATTATTTCCCTTCTACGTGACTTTACCGAAAGAACCGAGAAGATGAATCGTTCAAGAGCTAAGCAGATGTAATTATTGTGTGGCTTCAATCTGATATGTACTTTACATGAATTCGTGCTGTTTTATTTTATTTTTAGAGAAAGTAAAACAGTTACTGCAAGTTTAAATTGTACGTCCACGTGATTTTATATCAAACGGAAGGGATTTGACGAATCGTCACAATTCAAGTTCGTGATTAGATTCAGGAATAGATTTTTATTATTATTATTAATATTGTTATTGTAGTGAATCTTAACACCTTTTCTGGTTGCAGCGCTGACACCGTCCCATTAAAGACGACACAGATAAGACAAAGACGTATCTATTGCAGAATAAAAAATTCTATACACGTATTGTGAGCTTAAGAAACATGAATATTGGATTAATCGATGCATCGTTATACCGCTAGCAGTAATCATACTTTTTTCTCTTCCAAAAAGTTTTACCTAATAGCTTCCAATAATAAATAAACTTAGCTATATGGCCTAACCCAAAGACAAATATGGGTCATTGCATTGGCTATGAACACCTACATTTTAAGTTAACTAACTTCCAAATAATCATGGCAAAGCAAAAGTGTCTCCCTGCTCAAACGACCACGGGGTGGTGTTCACTTCCCGTGGCAGGCCTTTGCTCTCGTGATGCTTATTCCAGATTCCGATGGCAGGGAAGAGTCTTACCGAAGGAAAATTGGACGTCAATCACCGACTCCATTCTGCCTGGCAGTCTCCAGAAAAAAACATAAATGCATGCTCGTGATTTCCTGTGCTTAAGGGAAGATAAAAACCCACGTTACATGAAGGCCGAACGTAGCTACCAGCCTAAGTAAGGGGGCCGTTTAGGTGAATCTCACTGGGTGTGCTTCAGTTTATCAGAGAAGCTGAGAGACGCACGGGGCAGAGGGCATGGGCATGGCCCAGCGTCACTACAACGGGGCAAAGGGAAACTCGCGATTGGCAACGTGACCAAGTTTCTTTCTTTAAAGTAAATCACTAAACGGTGGGAAATTAACGAATCGGATTTCGGGGATTCTCCTTCTTTTTCTTCTTCCCCACGGGCAGACGGACGGGACCGGCACGGAACTCAAGTCGAGGCACATCAAGTCCCTAATGCACGGCAGGGCCGCGACATCAAATGAAAGCCCCGCTGCCTTTCCCCTCTTCCCCTCCCCCCGCGCGCGCGTGCGCCGGGCCGCTGCTGTCTGTTGCCACAGGTGTGGATTTAGTGTAATCGTGAGGGCTCTCTCTCTCCGCTCGAGAAAAAAAAAACACGCACACATCAGCCTACTCCGCGGTTCTACAGTGAAAGGCATCACTGTCAGCACGGTTAAAGGCAATTGCTGAATTTGACTCCGCTTTGTGTTGTGCCTTTTGTGTCCATCAAAGCGGCTTACCTGTTTTATTATTTAGTGTCGGGGGCATTTTATGTCAAAACCTACAGGATACGTGTCGTTAAAAATCCTGTACCCCCTCCCATAGGGAATTTTTAAACGAGGGGCATAGCGAGGATAAACAACCCATTACGTGATCGAGCATGAATCAAAACACTCGCCTACGGAGCTTGTGAACATTTTATTTTTTATAAAGTATTTCAGGGATT